AGTCAATTCCATCCAAACATCATTTTTCATCAAAATCAAAACTAGGGTTTGTTAAATAAATTTAGGGGCTTTGACACCCTCTTTATATATGTGATAGTTCTTAACATCAATACTCATAATCCATAAGAGTTTATTTGAAATCTTGATAAAATTTGGGTAAAATCCTTATGTGTTAAACATAAAACTCAATTTATACTCCATCATCAAAATAAAGTATCATGGTCACAACAATACCACATAATCATTCTCAAAATAAAGAGATACTAAGTTAAAAGTAATCCTACCTGAAGAAAAGAGTAAGAAAGCTAGACTTTAGGAAGAATCCTTCGTAGAATCAAAAACCAATCTGTATAAAAATAAAATAAAAAATAAAAAAAAAATCTTTACGTACACTCCACTTTTTGCAAGGCATTTAGGCTGGAATCTTAGTGAAATGAAAGATATATAGAGAGAGAAATCTAAGGTTTAGGTTTTCAGATATAGAGAGAGGAAAGAAAAGAGAAAAGGAAAAGTGAAAGAAATGATCTAAAAGTGACTTTTAAGTTGCTGAATTCGCGTAGACTGCTCGAGCGGTCTTTTCACCGCTCGAGCGGTGAATGAGGCCTCTCAGTATCTCTTCTTGCAAAACGAGATACTGGGAACCCCTCATCTCCGCTCAAGTTGTCTTTCCACCGCTCAAGTAGTCACCTGAAACAAGTTGTCACAAAATTCATTCTACAATTCTCTCTCTCTCTCTCTCTCTCTCTTCCTTTTGATTTTGAGTTTTCAATCAAGAGTTTTCTAAAGAAAGTTTTAGCTTGTTCTTTCTTTCTGATAATCATTTTTTGCAGACTTGATTATTAGTTGTCTTGGTTCTCTTCAAGAGGATTTTGGTCTACTATTATTTGTGTAGTCTTCGATAGACTGATCTTTAGACTAGGCTTCATTGTATCATAGAAGTAAATTTATTGTAAACCCACTACACACATTTTGATGGAGGCAAATATTGTCTTTAGGAAAGTGACGTCATAACACAACTTGAACCATGTAACACAATCATTTCTATAGAGATTCTCAAAGACACTGAAGTTGATTGCCATATTTTGAAGACCTAAAGACCAGTTTTTCTTGTACATATATGTTCTTTATTGTGTACCTCGAACCATGAATGGTGAATGGTGTAGAAATTGTGATTTGATCGAAATGAAAAAACTTCATTAATATTATATGGCATGTGAAATGTGGACCTAAGGTCATTTTGTTTACGTTTTGATATGTGATTGGGCCCGAGGCCATTTTGATATATGTTGGTCTGGAGGCCATTTTGATATATGATTGGGCTCGAGGCCATTTTGATATATGTTGGACCTGAGGCCATTTCGATATATGATTGGGCTTGAGGCAGTTTTGATTTATGATTGGGCTCGAGGTCGTTTTGATATATGTTGAGCCTAAGACAGTTCCGTTTGCAAAAACCTCATGACTATCTATTTACACTGCTTTACTGTTTTATTACTTATTGAGCTTTGCTCATCCAATATTATGTATGCACATGTAGGTGATCCGCAGCATCGAGCATACCTTTAGAGTTAGCTTCAGGAGCTATTTTTGTGACCCAATCGAGTCATTCCTTCGAGATAGAGTTTTGTCTTTGACTCTCGCCATACCTTGACTTCATTTTGTTTTTGCTATTATGGTCTTGGGTTTGTAAGCAATATCTACAAATTAGCTTTATAGTTTTGCTCATGTTGGCACAACTCAATGGACTTCTCATTATTATATACTTCCGTTTATAGCCCCATTAGCATAAATATTCTATATGTTCATTTGAGGCCTTCGATAATCTACGGATTACTGGCCGGTTATGATCCAAACTCTTATGGTCAGGTTCGAATCATGACAGCTTCCTTTGTTTCTTGATGTAAATATTTTGTTCAAACCTCGGACTTTACTTGTATTGAGTTTAAACTCATTTTGTTGTTATCAAGTATCGTCTTGGAAAGTTGTAACCTATTAGGGCATTTTTTTATTTGATTTTAATTCCCTTTTTACTCTTGTATCCATGTCATATGTTATAGATTTAGAATCTAGGATTTGTGAATATATATTGCATATGTCATCTTTTGTAACGAACAATGGTATGATGAATGGGAAATATAAAATAGTTGATCAATTATAGTACTATTACGAGTTGGGTTAAAAGTTAATTATTTTAAGGCGTTACACAATCAAAAATAACAAAACAACTTATGTGTGCAAGAGAAAAGGAAAACAACATGATTGAATATGCATATCAAAACAGTGGAAAAAAAAATTCCATGTAAGGCTTGTGTAGTGAAGAAAATACAACTTCTGTGTCTGAGGAGCTGTAGACACCCCATTTTTGACCGTCCTCAAGACTTGGACGTCACCGTTTGAACACCCGGTGATCATCCATGTTTGTGTTCATTTGGAGTTCCCGGAGGTCTCGACTGCATGCATTGCCTCAGGATCTCCGAACTCAACTGTTTAGTGTCTGGTTTTGCACCAAACACTTGTGTTTTGCCTTGGAGGGGCAGGGAATGCCTTGTGAGGCATCCCCACACATCACCGGCCATGGCCAGAGGCCACCGGCTGGTGTTTTGCTGCCATCGGCAATGTTTATTGCCGGTCGGCACTCAATTTTGTCAAAATGACATTTTTGGGCAGCCGACTACTGTTCATCTGCTTTTGCAGATATTTTATTACAGCTGTCTTGCATTTGGCTCCCCTCTATACACGTGTATGGAGGGATCTCCCTCTTTAGAAGCTTGTCTTGTAAGCTTTACAAGACAGGAAGCTCTATAAGAGGAGCCCTTCTCTCCCTTGCTTAGGGTTAGACACTTTAGAGAGTTTAGACAGCCATATTAGGGTTTTGAGTTCTAGGGTTAGAATCCATACACATTCTATCTCTATATCTCTCTCATTTTAGCCTTAGTGTGTGTGTTTTGTCTCACTTTTGTTGATAAGCACCCACCATTACACCATCCCTTGGAGCTGAGACCTCTTGAGGGTTGTTTTTAAGGTTTTGAAGCTGGTTTCAACCTAAAAGAAGCTGCTGGTCCACCATTGTTGAAGGGGTCTTCAAGGGTAAGAAACTAGTCCCTTTATTCCCCATTCTTGCATACTTATTTTTCCTATCTTAGAACTGTTTTTGTGCTTAGTGTATAACATAAAAAAGTTCTATTTTTAAGCCCTCTAAATAGTTTATTCAGAGTGTTTTGTGGTTTGGAGGTGTTTGACCCCTCTTAGGCCTTGAGAGGCCCCATTTTGAGCCATTTTGAGTGAGCTCCGGGACCTTGGTGTTTGGGCCTCCTCACCACTGAAATCTTGAGGGATTTCAGAGGTGAGGATGGTGCCTTGAAGTCTCCAAAAGGGGAGGGCCACCCCCTCTCCTTGTTGTCCTTGAAAGGGATCCTTTTTGTCCTTGAAAGGGACCCTTTTTGGCCTCTTGAGGGAGCATCATGTTAGAGTGTGTATTGATCATGTCTTGGCTGTTTTCCATGCTCATTATGCCATGATATAACCTTGTTGTGTGTTGGTTTTGGTACACCATGCATACTTAGCATACCTACCATGTAATGCCTTGTTATTGCCTTAATATGCCTTAGGTTGTTAGCCTTTGCTCTAGCATGTTTTAGGTTTATCCTTGTGAAGGTTTTGTGCTAATTTTGCCATGTTTTAGGTCTGTCCATGGTTGTTTGGGTTGATCTTGGCATGCGTAGTATAGCTCCTTTGTATTTGAGCTTGTATGCTTCAAGTATGTGAATGTGTAGTATGTGTTGCTTGCATCATTTCGGTGGTTTGGAACCACCCTACATGTTATTTCAGTCCCTTTGATGTGCTCATATGTTTGCCTTGGATGCCTCTTTGAAGCTTTGGAAGCTTGCCTTGCATGCTCCATGTTTTAGCATTTATGCATGCCTTTAAATTCAAACCATCTAGATGCTATCTAGTTGGTCTTTTGGGCTTAGTTTCATGTGTTAAAACTCTGTTTTTGGTTGCCTAAGTCCTGCCATGTGTGGTTGTACTAAGTGTAGTCATTGCCTCTTTGGTGAGCCTTGAATGCTTGGACCATTGTTGCATGTTCAGCTTGCCTTGTTGCTTGGTTTGGCACCATGTTTTAACATGATTTTCAGAGCTTATGTTGCACGCTAATTGTCCATGATATCCCTTTTCAAGTGTGCCTTAGAGTTGCTTATTTAATGCCTAAGTGTTGATCCAACTTACTTGCATGTGTGTATGTATGTTTGATCCCAATTCCTTGGTTTTTGGCCACTGTTTTAGGCCTATTTAGAGTTGCCTAAATCATGTCTAAGTCCACCTTTTCATCATGTTTGCTTGTATGCTTGCATAAGTGTCTTGCCATGCCATGTTGCATCCTTAGCTTGCATGCCAAGGTTGCATTGCATCTTGCATGCATGCCTTGTTCCTTGACTTGGTGATAGGAATTGGGCCTTGGTTCGTTTGTTTGGTTTGCGTTTCATTTGACATGAAAGTTGCACACTTGATTCTTTGGGCCATCACGCATGGAAATGCGTGATTGGCGGTCCGAGAATCGAGACACATGCCCTTTTGAGTCACAAACATGATAGGGGGCATGATTGGTGCATACATTGCTTGAATTGTATTGCCATGCAAGTTTTGTCCTCTGCTGATGTGAGTTGCAGGTTCTGCAGGCATTCTTTGCCGACCGGCAGTATACATTGCCGACCTGCAGTGAATCACCAGCCGATGGATTCATTTTGTGCCGATGACTACAATTCACTGCCGGTGGTAATTCTACTTAGCCGGTGGTGATTCCCAATATCTAGAGAAGCATCCTTGAGACTTTGGCAGTCTTCAAAGAGGCAGAGCAGGGAAAATAGAGACAGACTATGCATGGCCGTGCACTTCTGAGCAGGACCCGAGCATGCGCTGCATCTGGCTCTCCTCCCGATGCGGTTTACTGCTTTTCCTAGTTTAAATTAGTTTGTTAACTGATTAGTAGCAAAGATCGAGTGCTCATTTTCTCGATTATGAGTCCAGAAATTTGTCTGTCTCTGATTTTGCAGCAGTGCTATTTATACTTGGGTTCAGATTTTGAAGCGAATTGGCATCCTTAATGGAAGTATTAGTACCTTTTGTGTGTTCTGTAACAATTGGGTTGAGGAAAAATGGACCATGTTCTGTTGCTCTACCCGTTGAGTTGGTGTGTTTGGTCGAATATTTTAATTGGTGGGGAATCCAATGGGTCACGCCGGGTCCGGTGATAGAGTTGTTGCATTGGTGGGATGGGGTTTCTTTCAGAAAGATAGAAAAACAAATTTGGAAAGTAATCCCCATGGCAATTTTGCTGCTCAAAAATAAATAAATAAAAATTGCCAACAGGGTGAAGCTTAACCTCAAGGGAGTTTTGTATTCTGTCAATGATTTTCTATATAACCTGCAGCATATTCGGTCATGTTATTAGACTTGTGGTTAGGATTGTTGTTAGATATTGGCTATGTTGTTTCTTGTTGGTTTTGCTTGGGCCTTCTCTATTGACATTTTAAAGGGTTGATTGTTTAGTTTCTATTAGGGGTATTCAAAATAGCCTGAGAACTGAAGAATCGAAGAATCGAATTAAACCGGTCTCTTTGGGTTAGCTTGATTTGGTTTTTTTAGTCCATTGGTTTGGTTCCGGATCTTCAATTTGTCAAATTGATAGGATTGAGTTGTTTCTTAATTTAGACCTGATTTAAACCTAATCAACTTGAGAATCAAACCTATATATGCATATATATATATTTTTTCTTTTTTTAATATTGACGTGTCTTTATATTACCATGGTTTTGTATGTGATTTCAAAATCCTCTTTTCATGAAGCTTGTGCAATTGAACAAATTTTGAATTATTGGTCCAAGAGTGATAGATTCTGCTTCATGTTAAATGATTTAGCCTACTAACAAGGTAAATGATTTAGTGTAGAGAATAAGAGAAATTATGAGCCGTATGTATGTGAATTATGAAATGTTAGACTCTATTTCAAGTTATTCTTTAAATAGCATGTGTCAAAGTTCAAATGAAATGGAAGTTGATAAGCTCATTGATGGTTGTTGTGGTGAACATGTGAAGTCTCTTCAATTTGAATTTTTGAAGCACTTGGAAGAAGAAGAAAATGTTGATGCAAAATCAGAGACAGACAAATTTCTGGACTCATAATTTTTGCTATATTTATAAGTAACTTTTTGTAGCAGTGCTATTTATACTTGAGTTCACTTTATCTCTGGACTTTTCAATTATAATAGTCTATCCTTGTATTTTTGATCAATTTACAATGTGACTTAACCGTTAATATGTTGATGGAAAATAATGGTGTAACAATCATGTGCACTTGTCACATTCTATTTTTCCGTTAATAAAAAAGGAAGTCAATCTAATCTGATCAAAATCTGAACTCAATCTGATCTGATCTCTCTCGCATTTTGTTAAATCTGCTGATTAACAAGGTTTCAAGCAAGTCGTTTTTATTTTGTTTTTCATTAACAAGTGTTAATCGGTGTTTGATTTCTTTGTAGGTGGTGATGAAGTGTAGAGATCGGTTACATGAACTTGTAAAGGAAGAGATAGAGAATAAGGATTCGAGTACGGAGGAGTGGAAGATCGTGATGGAGAGAAGCTTCAAACGCATGGACAATGAGGTGATTGCATGGAACAACATTCATTTTTTGTTCTGTCCAGATTTTTTTCTTTTCTTCCTCTTTTTCTTTGTTCTGTCCAGATTTATCTTCCTCGTCGATTCACTTTACTAATGTTGTACCCATTTGCTGGGCAGAGGCTACTACCTGTCTCTTGTACCCATTTGGGCATGTGTTGAGCTAGTCTTTATGGCCTAGCCCCTCTATCTATATATAGTAGTTCACCTCCTTTGTTTCAAAGCAGGCAAGCAAGCAACCACCTCCCTCAAACCCTTAGGCTTCATTTCTTCATTTCCAGACCTCTGGTGGTTCAACTCCATCTCAGAGCCTACCATACTTCCTGAATGGCTCCAACAATCAGTTTACACAATCTACCATCCACACCCTACTTCTGAAAATACCCTGACCTGAAAATCCAAACTCTAGAATCTAGACTGACAGAGGTTGGTCTGAAAGCCATCCCAACCTTTTCTCATCTGGCCGCACTTTGCTATTCATTTTGTAAATAAGTATAAGGAATTGGGGAAAGGGTTTTGTTTGACTTACAAAAAGAAAAATGAAAGAGAAGGAAAATAAATATGAAGGGAAAAGGGTTCTATAAATAAAAAGAAAAAAGGAGGAAATGGCTTGGCACAAAGTATGTACTATATAATTTGTCGTACGATGCTTGATATGTCATATGATATTGGGGTATCTGTAAAAGGAAAAAGTATTGCCGTTGATGTCTTCTATGACAACCCTTATTTATCATTAAAAATAGAGAAATGACATTGGAAATGATCTATTTTGGGCTGAAGAAAAAACATAATTTAAAAAAATAGAGAAAAAAAGGTCTTAGCTTCATGTTTAGTTATTTTTCAAGGGAAATATTACACTCATGAAGCTTATATTATCCCAGAATGGTGTATCCTCACAAGAGCCACCAAATGTGCACATTTTCTAAATTTTAAGTAACAAACTTACAAAACATGCATGATTGATTTCCTTGTGATATACAGATACCTATTAAAGCTCCTGGAAGTGCTCAAGGTGAGCTGGAAATTACTAATTTGGATTAAGAATTGTGGTGAGTTGATGTACTGGAAGTGCTAGATATTTTCTGCTGCTGCTGCTATTTTGTTTTTTTTTTTTTGGGGGGGGGGGTGCAATTGGGATCTGGATGTTATTTATTTTCAGTTGGACAACGTTTCTTTTCTGTTCCTTTTAACCCACAATCAAAACAATGTGTAATGAGGTTGGCCAGTTCTTTTATCAAGTAGTGAAATATGAAATTGTTCCCCGTACAATAGTTTTTTCAATGCTGATAATCTAAGTATTAAGATATAATTTTTTACAAGCATGCGCAGTTAACATAGACTTTGTAAGACCATATTTTAAATTTGCATACACTTGATAAACACACACTAATCAATATTATATGATAAATTTATTTTTATTAAACTTTATGTTTGGGTGGTTTCAGGGGCTGGACAATATAACTGCTTGAAGTCTCGTGCACAAAATAGAAAAGCAATATGAATGCTAGGTGTACACACACTAATCAATTATTCTAGTGTCTATTCTATCTATCTAGGTAATTATTCTACTGTCCTTTTCTTTCCTTATCTTTCTTCCTTCCCCAAAACCCCTCTCCAGGTGTGTGGGAGAGAAGAAATAAAATTTACTTTTTGGAAGCTAAAATCTTGTTAAAACAGGTGTTTAATTGTGTTTTTTGCTTGTATTTCACAGGTTGACTCTAAGCAACAAATGAGTTAGCATTGGTTTATTTAATGTTAAATGCCCTAGAATCCTAGTACCATCATGTTTATTCCTCCTATTTTTTTAATTTATTTTTAAAATTTTTAATTTTTTAATACTAGAACTTAGAGATAGCATGGATAAAGAAAACTAAATTGTTTTTTAAGGTTGTTGGCTGGATTCATACTCCACTTGTTGCATTGGATATATATATCAGGTATCATGTTATTACAATTACTGAGTACTTAAGGTTGGGTATTGGGTTTTTGGTGTTTAGGAATAACAGTTTTCACTAATCATATTTGGTACTCCACAGTTGTGTACTCCTAGGTTAATTTGGTTTTCTGTTATGTTACTCGATGTTGAGAAGGGAATCAAACTGCAGATTTTTGGCTACAATGTCTTGTGACTTGAGAAGTGCAATTCGTACGACGTCCCTTATGTTCTGAATGAAATTATCTTTTTCTGGCTAAGGCTCGTGCATCTGTAGTATTGTACCCAGGTTATACTTATGATTTGTAAGTTGTTAGTGCTGGAACAGACTCAGCTGTCAATTTGTGGATGGCTTCTCCTCCTAGCAGTGATGATTTATCATCTGAAAGGTTACTTTCCTATTTTCGAAGGCTAGGACTTCATCATGTAGTTTTCCTTTGTTGATTTCTTCTGATGGCCTTGTTTAATTCTATGATTTTGCAGCTTGATGGAGTCACATACAAGATCGGTAGATCCATTGCTCAATTCGTACAGTGACTACGAAGACAAGGTCTATGGTGATTGCTGCAGTGTTCATTATTCTTCTTCTCTACATATGTATAAAGCTTAATGTCTGAATTTAGCCTGACTAGTTTTACCAAAATTGCTGGTCTTGCTTGGAGTTCCCGAGAGCCATGGATTTTTGCATCATTATCCTATGATGGGAGGGTAAGTGCAATTTTATTGTATAATGGATTGGAAACATGGGACAAGATTTAAAATTCTAGCTTTTGGTTATTGTTCTTTGTCGTCCATAAAAGGATAGAAAATTATTGTTCTTACTTTATGTGCCTAAGGCTGATTTTCGTGAAGCCACATGTAGGCAGTATGAAGAGAATGCCTGCAATCGTGGTGGGTATTGCAACTTTATGCATCTGAAAAGGATTGGCAGGTAAGCATCCTTGATGTGTTTGTTTTTGTCTCATCTATATTTTGCAAGGTATTACAGTTGAGCAGAGCCTGATTTTGTTTCTAAAACGATTCATCTTACTGTTATGAACGATAGAGAGTTGAGACGCCAATTGTTTGGGAGGTATCGCTCAAGGCATAGCCGCAGTCGGAGCAGAAGTTGAAGTCCTTATAGGCATCGCAGCTATGATGAGCGCCCTCATGGAGGTTGTGGGCACAGTAGAAGGATACTGTAGGTGATGTGCAGGTTCACTAGTATAAATTTTCTATTTGTTCAAATTTTTCTATGTCCATTTTTTATTTGTACAAATATTCCATCTCCTCTTCATCGTCATCTGATCAACAGACGAACAAATAGAACAGATAAAACCGTCCACTTTACTGTAAAGAAATATATCGAAAATAGCATAAAGCATAAATTAGCCAATACCCCAGGCAAGTTCTAAAGTAGAATCTTGCCAAATAGCTATGTTGGCCTCGGAATTTGATTTGCCCCGTCTCTTGCAATATTTTCGGAACTTTCCAAGCATGTCATTTGCATCATTGCCATAAACACATTTTGGCATTAGAAACAATATTTTTTTTAATCATATTTTCACTATAGAAATAAATAATTATATATAGACATGCGTACAATAGTGTTATGATTTACAAAAAAATATAATGAAAGATTGAAATTAGATCCAAACATAAAAGGGTTATAATTTAGGAATTGTTTGGGATTACTGTCCATCTCCAACCATCACTGATTCTCCTAATGCTGGTAAGCATCAAAACAATAGACATGCATCTGCATATACATATATATATATATATATATATCCATATACAAATGACAAATTAGGAGTAGAAGAAATTCATCAGATCTTTTCTTCGCCGACGACGATGGCAGCGAGAATGCCGTCGTAGAAGGTCTGGACGTCCATGTCGACTCGATGATGACGACGGACTCGCCTTTGGAGAGCACATCGCCTTCGGATTTAATCTAGGAAACGATCTTGCCGTCGGTCATGCTGGAGCTGAGATTTGCTGGTTTGGTGACCGATTGCTTCACCCCAGGCTGTGCTGGTCTGGGCAACACCTGCTAGTCTGCCACCATGTGTTGTGTTTCAATCCTGGCTGGGTATTTGTCTGCTGACTGTGTATCTATCTGTCTTCGTGCTGTATCTATCTAGCATTTTGGTGTCTACTAGGTTGTTAGTTTACTGGTTGTGCTGTGTATCTATCTGCCTTTTGCTGGTTTATGCTGTGTATCTACTAGAACTGGTGGCTCTACTGTGTGCCTCTTGGTCAGATTTTGTTCCAGGTGAATCTGCATTTCATTGGGGCTGCTGATATGTTTGTGAGGCTGATGCTAATGTGTTAGTGGTTGCCATTCTTCTGCTGTCAATGTTTTGGCTTTGGTTGTATTTTGTGGAGGCGGTGTATCTACTAGAACTGGTAACTCTGCTGTGTGCCTTTGGTGCTGTGTCACTGTGTGGCCTTTTGCTGGCTGTTGGTGGTGGTATGTTTTTGTGGTGGTGGTGGTGGTATGTTTTTGTTAGAATGTTATGCTCAGCAGAGGACAGGTTCCCTCAGCAGTGGACTGTTATATTGGTCTTGAGTATGGAATGTTGCTCTTGGTCAGATTTTATTCCAGGTGAATTTGCTATTCTTCTGCTGTCAATGTTCTGGATTGTGGTTTTCTGGCTGCTGGTCTGCTCTGTTGTTGATCTGCTTTGCTGCTAGGATGTTTGCGGTCCTGTGAGCTAGGGTTGGTTTCTCACTAGCACCATGCTTGGTTATCCTCTTTTCTCATTTTTTCTTTCTCAGTCTTATTGTTGAACTCCCATATCTAATGTATGGCTTTATCATCAATAAAGATTTTCTTTGCTGAATAAAAATAAATAAATAAATAAATAAAATGGTGGAGCTGAGAGCTGGCATAAAGATCTCCTTGATCTTGGCCTGGACGGTGGAGATTCTCCAGCGTGGCTTCGGAAGACATGCAGATGAGGGACGCCATTGGAAGGTTGGAAGAAAACGAGAGAGAGGAAGAGAAGGAACCCTAAATTGGAGAACAGAAGAAGCCATGGTAGAGAGAGAGGATGGGAGGTTAGGTAGTGTAGTCATTATGCATATACTAATTTTGTCTCTGAATCTTTGACCGGAAGAAATTCAAAATTAGATTTTTAAACCAAGTGTTCCAACTTCTTTTATTTTCTTTTTTTGTGATGGTAGAAATTAGTATTGGATTTAAAAATTTTCAACCCCTCAAAATTATGATCCTGAATCCGTCATGGTTTATAAGTTCAATTACCAATTTATTTAACAGCAATGATTGAGCGCTACAATTTTTGTGGCTCAAATGGCTCGAAATTGCTAAAACGACGTCGTTTTGAGTACAAAACAACTTCAAAATTGCCAAAACGACGTCGTTTTGGCAATTTTGAGCCATTTGAACCACAAAAATTGTGGCCCTCAAACATTTTCATTTATTTAATGAGGTTATTATGCAAGACAACATATTTTTATATTTTTTGACAAAATCAATAAGGTGTTAAAATTTTGTTTTTATTTACAATTTGAGAATTATTACTTAAATTTTCGCATGACCTATGGGCAAAAAATTTTAGAGTTTTGAGGACCTGCAACTTTTAGACCTTTTCGAGATATGCTTACGGGAGGAGTAGTAGAAGGTTTTTGAACCATCTTCGCTTCACTTTTTTTTATTTTTTATTGTTTGAAAAATATTTTATTTCCAAAATATTGTTTTGAAAATTAATTACAATATCTATGTAGGGTTGAGTAAAAAAAAAAAAAAAAAATCATAAATTGGTTCAATCCTAATCAAATCGCACAATTTGGATTATTTTTTTAATACGCAGTTTGCATTCTTAAAATAGGCAAATCGTGCTTTGCAAGTCAATTATTTTAAAGTAATGAATCTTGTTTAGAATTGAATCAGATTGTTTTTTTAACTATCATAAACACTCAAATGTCTTATAAGTTTTTATCAGAAAAAAAGAATAAACTTTATTGATAAAAAGATATACAATACATATGGTAGAACATCAATAAACTTTATTGAGCCAGATTGGTTTTGTTAACTATCATAAATACTCAAATATCTTATAAGTTTTTATTAGCAAAAGAGAAGACATTTTATTGATGAAAAGATATACAATACATATGATAGAACATCAATAAACTTATTGAACCAAACTGTTTTTGTTAACTATCATAAATACTAAAATATCTTATGAGTCTTTTTATCATCAAAAAAGAAGAAATTTTATTGATTAAAAGACATACAATACATATGGTAGAACATCAATAAAGGAGACAAGAGTACAAAAAATGTTAAAAGTAAAACTTTGCAATTCCAACTAAATTGACATCAAGAAAAATATATGATCATGTACTAACACAACCTCAATGTTAGTGAGAGACCAACCAAAGATAGAAAGAGATGACCACAACAACATACTACAATTGTGGGAATCAAGCAAGAACCGAAAATCACAGCTATAGCACCTTACAACAGTTAACATAACCAACAACCAAATCACACCGAAACAAAGCATTCATTTACAAACACATTAACAAACCTGATTGACAATATAACAATTGTGATAATGGTCTCTACTCTTGCAAACTTATTCTTGTATAGTGGTTAACAATATTTTGTGACCAAGTTGTGAATGATGAGAAAATTTCAAAACATTATAATTTCAAACCAAATCAAACTATATTTTTGGTTTGGTTCCAAAATTTTTAAGGATTAATATATTTGACTCTAACTTTTATAAAATCATAAGTAATAAATTGATTCTTAATTTAATTTTAAATGGAAACATATCATCTTTGTTTGGAAGGATTGGAGGGGGATTGGACTGCATGTCCAATCTACCATGGAGTCCTCTGTTTGGTTGAAAATTTGTAGGTCCTATTAGGAGTTCCCCGGGATTATCAATCCCATATATGTTACTAGACTATTGGGTTCTGGGAAGATATGAGATAGAAATGGTGAGATTGGACTCTAATGGGATTAAGTTGTAAAATGATAAATTTGCCATCCAAATATTTGATTTTATTATGCATTCTATTTAGTAAAATAAAATAAAATATAAAAATCTCAATTAAAAAATGAAATAAAATAAAATAATTTAATTTAATTTTTATCGATGTTAATTTATTTAATTTTTAAATAATTTTTTTTATAGATTTTTATTTTAAAATTTTGTTAATATTTTATTAAATTTCATTATTTAATATTTATTATTTTTTAAAATAAATTTATTTAAAATTTTATTTAAAAATAATATAAATTTTTATTGATGTTTCATTTATTTAATTTAAAAAAAATTAATTTATTTTGATTTTTAAAAAATAGAATAAAATAAATTTTTATTTAATCTAGCTAAAAAAAATTTAAATGTTAAAGACAGATTTAGGATTTAGTATTGCTATTACTTGGTAAATAATTGAAAATAGTAAAAGAGTCTATTAAACATTTATCATTCTCTATAATATTTCAATTAAACATTGGATTTAATAGGATCAGAGGTGACGTTAGCTTATTACAAGTGGTGTCACTTGAACCCATTGAGAAATTGAAAAAATAAAATAAAATAAAATAATAAAAAAATAAAAAATAAAAGAACAACTACTATATAAATTTTGGAATTTTAGGGAAATGTTAATACTATTGACACTACCCAAAAGATAGCTTTGAACTCATAGTTTTCAACCTCATTATTTGAAAAGGTGATCTTCCGCGACCAAAAAAAGCCTTTGGTCGCCAATAGTATACTTTTCGTGACCAACTTTTTTTTTTGGTCGCCAAAGGGTATACTTTCTGTGACCAACCTTTTTTTTAGTCGCCAAAAGGTGATCTTCCGCGACCAAAAAAAGCCTTTGGTCGCCAATAGTATACTTTTCGTGACCAACTTTTTTTTTTGGTCGCCAAAGGGTATACTTTCTGTGACCAACCTTTTTTTTAGTCGCCAAAAGGTGATCTTCCGCGACCAAAAAAAGCCTTTGGTCGCCAATAGTATACTTTTCGTGACCAACTTTTTTTTTTGGTCGCCAAAGGGTATACTTTCTGTGACCAACCTTTTTTTTAGTCGCCAAAAGGTGATCTTCCGCGACCAAAAAAAGCCTTTGGTCGCCAATAGTATACTTTTCGTGACCAACTTTTTTTTTTGGTCGCCAAAGGGTATACTTTCTGTGACCAACCTTTTTTTTAGTCGCCAA